GAATAGGGCACCAGGGTGGGATGGGGGCAGAGCCCAGCCAGCGCCCTTACAGGTAAACTCCGCGCTGCTCTTCGGTCCCAAAACAAGGCAGTTAGTGTAAGTAACAGTCCTGTGAATTAAGCTAAGTATGGGGTGCTTCGAGACGCACAGTAAGCGTCCTGCAGACAGCGAGAGCAGCATCGCTGGGGCAGGCTGCCAAAGCCCTCCAGCCCGTTCCTCGTGCGAGTGCGTTTTCTCCCAGCTCGCCCCTCTAAGCATAGTGTGAAGGAAAGGCTTAAAACTGGGCTGGGGAGCCTGAAGTGCAGAGCAAGTTCCTAGCAGCTCTCGGGCCGTACTTGAACCTCGCAAGGACTTCAGCGACTCTTCTAGCAGAGCCGCCTCAGCATGTAAACCTCACGCCTCTGTAAACTAAGCTTTTTTCCAAAATCATTTGAGGCCTGATCTTCACTTTAGAGCTACAGGATGGGAGAGTGAAGGCTTACTCCTCACGGCCATCGGCCTCAGCCTCTGGTATTTAGCTTGTTTTAAGTGGCAATGATCGCGTTACTGGTGTGGCACGTGCTGGTTTGTGTCCATGTACAACCGGAGCCAGTCCATTACCGGGCTACACGTGGTACATCGTACAATGCACAAGTTACTGTTATGTTATAAAAGGGTACTTAAGACATACTGTAACAAATGCCTTCAGTAGATTGAGGCAATGAAGGTAGCCTTATCTGGGAGAAGAGTACAGGCTCGGCTTTGTCTCAGTGCACCAGGCTCAGAGGAGTTTGAGTTTGGTACTACTTCCAATTTACATTCTGTGGAATCTTTTAATAAAGTAATTTTTCACCTTGTTTTCCTTGCTCTAGTGGGAGGGGGGTGAGAACACTAGTTTTAAAGATAAACAGGGTGTGTGAAATCTCTCAAAACAAGTTCAGTCGGGCAGACTTTATAGCCAACAGGAAAAAAAAAATGCAGAGAAGCAGCTGTACCGAGTTTGGGAAAACCTGCAGATCTACAATGCCACACATGCAAAAAGACAAACCAAATGGAAACAAGATAGCAAGGTAGCTACAAACAACAATAAAAAGGCATCAGGTAAGTGTCTGAGATGGCTACACAGGAAAAGCTATACAAGACATTTCTGGAATTGCATATACAGAGATTTAAATTTTATTCATACATTTATTACTTACAGAAGCTACCTCTATTAATTGCCAGAGACTGACCTTGACTCTCCTACTTTTAAATAAGGTTACTAACCACCACGCACAGCAGAACAGAGTTAATACTGTTAGTGTCATTGGTGGCATGAGTGTGCACCGAGGCAGTGAAACGCCTAACGATTCTACTTTGGAAAAGTATTTGTTCTTCTGCGCGTGTAGTTCTTGGTTGCTGCACTTTCAGCTGGAGCAGCTGGCGGGGCTGTATCTGTACAGAACCACACTGTTAATGCCATCAAGACCAGAAAAATGCCCACACGTGCAGGTAAGTAAAAAAGTCTTTTTTTTATATTAAAAAAAGCATTAATTCTGTTTATTGCACAAAGAAAGGAAGATTTAAACTAATACTGCAGGGTTATGTATCCCTTTCTATTGGTTCTATGTATCCCAGACTATTGGTTGTAATTTTGCTGTATTCTAGGCCAATAAATTCCAGCCACAAGGTGCAGCAATTCCCCATGCCTACACTACTTTGGATGCAGCATGCTAGCTTTCCTGGGAAACAAAGCCATTGCGTGCTCATCCCCCGCAGCTGGGAGGAACAGTAAACCCAGGGAGAACTTGCCAACTCTGTATTTCCTCACGTAGTAAACAAGGTGCATTTTCTATTTCAGCCTCCACCCCACAGGTACGTTACACTAAGATCAACCAATCTTGCCCCAGAAATGCAAAAGGCAAAGGGCAAGGATATTATTTTCAAAAGCAGCCCTCTTGGGAAGGGCAGCAGGACCACCCCAGCCCATACCTTCCTTGCGAAGGATTCCCCTCCCCCCCATTTTTTATTCTTTTCAGTACAGCCAAATTAGAGATCCCAGAGTGAAACGATCAGATGAACAGACACAGCCACAATACACAGCTACTGAAGAAGAACGAATGACCTGTTTTCCCTCGAGCATGCTCTCACCAAGCATGTGACTTTAAAAAAGCTGAAGAAACCTTATTTTTAAAAATATGTCTGTCATAGTTAGCACAATTTAAAACTGTCATTGCCTTTACAACTAATTCAAAAACCAAATTTAATTAAAATGAATTGGCATTTTCCCCATGGACAGTCATTAGTTGTAATGACTTTGTTTCGGTATTACGATATGTCATCTCTGAGCAGTCTTCCATGTTACCAGAAGACTGTAAAAGAAAGGTCAGGTTTCTTCAGACATTCAAATAACTATTATGAAGCGAAATTAACCAGAAAAGAGCTTGTTTACATAAGTAAGAGGTGAAGGGTACGTAAGAGATAAATAGCTTATAACTTGGGGTATTTGCACTGCAGTGGAACAGTAGATAAATCCCCTTAGGTAAAACATGGAAGCTTTGCTCCTGTCAATGTAAACATTTTGAGTGTTGCAAGAAGCTTAACACAGAGATGCTCTTAGCTTCTAAACACTTTCTAGCCTAGACCCTCTGCTTTCTCTTTCCTCTCCGACCGCACTGTAATCGGTGCCAATCGATAAGTGATTGGGATAGTTGTGTGTGGACCGAAGGCCACCTAGGACCATCAGTTAATGGGAAGAGTTTTTACTTTACTGAGTAAAGACTGTCGTGATCAGCTCCTAGCAACGCAGACACTACCTGGAACACACAAGATGCTTTTCTTTGATTGGTGTTTGTGTGGGATTGGCAAAAATCCCTTTCAGTTCAAGGGCATGGATTTTTATCTCACTTGCACAACTCCATAATAAAAGCTGCAGTGGGGTAACTAGCATCAATGGGGTGTACCGGGGGAGATTTCTCTGGCCGCTATTCAAGATGGAACATCCCCAAGGTCTCACCTCTATGAGCAATCTTCTGGTTGCTATTACCTGTCCCACTCATGTTAGCCACAAAGAGCTACACCTGAAGAAGCCGTCTGCAGAGTTAGGGGTTCAGAATTCTCCCACAATTAAAAATTCTTCCGTGCTTCCTTTTCAAGTAGAGTCATCCAACCCTTTATTTGGGTGCTCAGAGCTTGACTTGCAGAGCCTGTCCATGATCCCCTGCAGCATAGGTTGAACAATCCCCAGGAGAGGGCGCTGGGAGGAGTCTCCGTCCCAGCAGGCTTCCATCAGCTGCCAGCATTCCTCATCGAACACTGGAAGACGCTCCGGGCGAACTCCTGGAAAAACGGAGAGGGACCTGGTAACCATCAGTACACCTCAAATCTGAGAGAAGCTTTGTCTGATGCTCACTACTTTGGTGCAAGCTGAAGTGACCAAAGTGGACTGTCTGGGGTCTATTGCTATTAATAAAGGCTTACATTTCAGCAACGCCACTGAGCCATCTTTGGGAGCATTGCTGACGCCGCTCAGGAGATCATGCACACTTCCAGAGGATGGCCAACACATTTAGTTTCACTGGAGCCTCCTCTTTGCAACTATTTGGGAACAAAATGAGTACCCTCCTCTATAAGAAAACCAGTCCCTCCCACATCCTCTCATAATGGTGCCTTTGGGAGAAAGTTCAACATGAGAACAAGCAGCGAGTGCAGCATTCTGACCGAGAACAAGACTCACTCATCTGAGTTAATCTTTTTCACATGAGAAGGGGAGAGATTATATGGACAGGAACTAAGGACACAAAGTAGTAAAGCATTCCGATACCATAATGCAGCGTGAAGGATTAAGCCACCACTAAATATAGTGCTACACTAAACCTACACAGGCATAAGAGTAAGTTTATATTTTGGGGAAAAGCTGTAGAGTGTGTTCTACTCAACATCCAGCTTGCTCAGCATGCTGCAAATTAAGCACTTGAATGCACAGATCTCCACAGCCTCCAGAAATTGCAAGGGATTAAACATTCTTTAGGGGATCATGCCTGGCTGATTCTGGGGTCTGTTTTACATCCTAAGTGTTGTACTACTTCGCATGGTCTAAGCAGCGTGCTAGCACAGCTCCTATGACACTATGGCAAGGAGGTGGTTAACCAAAAGCCTTTTTTTGTTATTCCCTGCTAATTTTAGTTAGACTTTCAGTAGAATATGTCCAAGTTTAACTAGATAACATTACTCTTTAGACTGTCAACGAAGCAATACAACTTGTATTTTTACCTTTCAGTTCCAAGAGGATAAAAATGGATTTCCTAATCTCCTCTCAAATTTTACTGAAGCATAAGTTATCAACCAACAGAGTTCAAAATAAGCCATTTATACCTCTTCTAACATTGTTCCAAAGGTGATCTTTGCTTGCACATCTCTCGAAAGCCTCTGGTAACTTCACGTGTCCCGAACAAATGTACCAGAACAGAATGCCAAATGCGTAAACATCCACTGAGTTATCATACTTTCCTGTGACAAAAACACATTTGATCAGCAGGGCAAACTTCATCTTCATCACTGGAAACTGAGCAGTCTGAACTAATTTCAGTGTTCCACTTCCCCAAATTAAAACCACAACTTCATTGCTGGAAGGCAAGGCTTGAGTGAAGCCTAGTAACGCATCAGGAGGCATTGCCAAAGATGGAGGGAGGGATAAAAGTTAAGCCTTCCATTCTGAGAGGATTTATACACTTAACCTGTACCAGCAGTTCCCAAGCTGAGGTTCACGGACCACTGCAGGTACAGGTGCTCAGGTGTCTTTCAGACTTTAACACCAACATTTGTAAGCCTATCAGTTCTGTTTGGCTCTGCTGCTAGCCCAGGAGTCTGACGGAGCTAACATCAGCATCTCAATCCAGAGTTTGGCAATTACTCAGTTATAGCAAGTTCACCCACTGCATAAGAAAAGATTGAGCACAGAAGTGCGTAAGGGCTAAGCCAATGCTCACCTCTGTAAGGTCAAGGTCTAGCCTGCCAGTCATGAGTATTTCACTGTTAGCAGTGAGAGTGAGAACCACCTGAATAATATTCTCCAAATTAAACACAAATAGGATTGCTTCAATTTGACTGCAATCTTGTCAAAGCAGGGACAGCATCTCAGATAGACCAAAAGGATTCTGATAAGTGTGGCATGGACCTCTAAGCACTACCATAAGATGCTTGCACAGGAAAAAAGTTTAGAGAGAGCCTGCCAGAAGCACAACACAGTGAATTTGAACACAGTCCACATGTTAGTAACAGCTTGGAAATTCCTTACTTGGTATCCATTCAAAAAACAGGGGATCCTTTCTGAAGTATTTGCCTATGAAAGCCAAATATTTCCAGCTTCCTAATAACTAATAATTTAACTTTCCAGTTGAAGGGGTATTCATCACTTCAAACCTTATGAATCCCACAGTTCTCTATCAGGTAACCAAAGATTTAAGACTGAGACTTAAAATACAGAAAAAAACATACTACGCATTCTAGTCTTCATTCAGGCAGTCTTCTGATTTATTTTAATTATTTTCCCCTCATAAGCAAGTTGAGATATTAATTCAAAGTAACAGCCTTCAAAATTCAAGCCAGAGTGAGACAGTAGCAGATTCAATCAACAAGCATACCTGTAAAGAGCTCAGGAGCCATATGAATGGGTGTGCCTACAATACTGCCAGACATCATGGCTTCTGGTTTGCAGAACCCCAAGTCAGTGATTTTGGCTCGATTCTTTTTGTCAAGCTGTAGAAGAATTCATACACAGGCAACTGATAACCACACTTCTCAGTTTTAGTAATGCATTTTAATATTAAGGCTTTAACCTCTGTTTATGTTTGAAGGGTTGGGCATTTGTTCTTAAGTAAGCTTCTCTGATTACTTGGCTGCTCTTGGACTTTTACCTAGTTAAGCTCAGTAACAAGACATGTCTTCACTTGTCTTCTACGTAGAGGGTGTGGTTGGGGTTTAATAGAACTGCGAGCTGGAAGTCCTACTTGCAGCTCAAGCTCTCTACCTTCAAGAGAAGTCACTCTATGGCTCCCTTTCCCCAAGGCTTTCTGCCTGAAACGGAGTCAGGGAAACCTCACTGCAAGGCTCTTTGTGGCTAACAATACCACAAGTTGAAAGATCCTGTGTGGGTCAATCCCCACAATCCTGTATGAAGAAAACTGTTACTTCACTTGTATTATGCTTCTCCCTCCCACTAAAAGGGCCTCATAAGACTTCAGGATTAGCCAGATACAAAAAAGTTTTCCTTACCAAGACATTTTTAAGTTTGATATCTCGGTGCACAAGTCCCTGACTGTGAAGATAACGGATTCCTTCAACTACATCCAAGGCAATCTGTAATCGTGTTTCTAATTCTAGCCCAGCCTGAAGAATAAACAAACACAGATTTAATTCCTACAAGTGGGAGTTACTTTTGCTTACTCTTATTTGCCAAAAACACTGAAAACTAAGCAATTCTAGCTTTGTTTTACATATTAATAGATACTTAGGTATGGATTTTTTAAGGTATATATAAAAAAATGTATATACATACACACAGATTGTTGTTACCTTTAGTCCGGTATAGAGGTCTCTGTGCAACCGTTCCATTATCAGTAAGACGGCAATGCTGGAGCCTCCTCCATAGCCATAATCTATCACAGAACCATGGAGATGTACGAGCCGCTCATGTGTCTGCAGGGACCTAGAGAAAGTTCAGCACAGAAAGCTGGTCATTTTTATATCCTTCCCTCCACCCCAGGCCAAGCCTCACCCTGTAAAGGAAAAATGCTCAGCAGCTGCAGCTTTAGCACAACAGTAAGATACACCTATACCATGTGCCGTACAGTAAAAATACACAGCACCCCACGGTTCTGAGGACTGTAACAATATACAGCTGTCTTACCCAATTAAACTCAAGAAAGCCTATTAAAGGTTATAGTACCAAAGAAATACTGTATTATTTCAGCCGTCTACTGCAGCACCTGTCTGCAACTGTTTACTGAAAACGAGCTGTTTTCTGCAGCGCAGACCCATCATTTTCTTTTGTGAATTCAGGTAGGACAAAGACAGATTGGGAAAGGAGGGATGATTCAACACCAAAAATCAGGGGAGGAAGAACTGTTTGCTATCATACTCTATTAATTCTAATTCAGTCTGCAAAATAGCAAGCATTCTCTGGCGTCTACGCTGTTTAAATCAGGTTAAGGCAGAAAGGAGCATGTCTGCCTACTATTCTGTGCCTGTTGCATTTTTGCAGTGGAACTGGCAAGCTGTCTTGCCTTTGCTAGAAATGGCAGCTTAGCATTTCCTGAGGTCAAGTCACTGATTGCAGAGTAGAATTATAGCAAGCAGGGTTCTGCCTATGCAAACAGCGTTTATTTGCAGTAGTGACGTTAAGGAGATCCATGTGGAATGAGAAAAGCGCTTACGATACACACCTCATATAGTGAAACTCAAGTGCAAGGTCATTCCAGTGCTTCTCATCTGGAGGAACAACAGATTTCAGTGCACATGGGAAATGCCCTCCCCAGCTGTCACACAGATAGACCACGCCATACTGTCCTCGGCCCAGCTCGCGGCCCAACTTTGGTTTGCCTGTAAGGCACAACATCCATTTAGTTAGACATTAAAACATGTTTATTTCTTCCCGTACACTATCAGGCTGGCAGCCCAGAGCTTTTCATGGGCCAACAGCTGCACAGTTCAAGGTACCCAGTATGTGTCAGATGGAGGCTTACCGAAGTAGCTGAGTGAAAAGCAAAACACCCCTCCTACTCCTTTACACCCACTGACTGCTTCAGAAGGAGGGAGCAGAAGGTAATACAGAGAACATCAAGCACAACACTCACCATGTAACAGCACATCCTGGAGGGACCTGCTCTCCAGCGAGAGTCGTGCTAGCCGAGGAGCATGATCTTTCCGCACCTTCAGCCACAGATCTTCTGTTTTCTCCAGCCTGCCAGAATGGCCGTCTTCTAACTAAAAGAGATATCGCATACACACTGTAATCCTGCCTGGTTTGAAGCCCTAGTGTAACGAGGTTGAGGGTCTTTGCACAACTGAGTAGAGATCCTACTTAAAGCATGCCTAGTTTAGAAATAGGACCTTGTATTAGGGCACTCACATCAGCTCTGTCACCTCTACCTACAGAATGGCAGCATTAACTGCACGGGCTGCTCTTTTAGCTATCTCTGCAATTAAAAATCCTCTTTCCATAAGTGGCAATGTACAAAACAAGACCTCTTCCTTAACAGCTCCACACACTCACCTGTCGCAGAGAAGCTGCAAAAGCCTCATGGGAACTGTTTAGCCTGGTCCGGAACTGGCTGCAAATGCTCTTGGCTAACTTGGACGCACTGAGGCTCTCGATAGCGTCCTGAGCAACTTTCCTCTTCCAGTCACTGGTGATGGCAGGTGGGCTGACCCATGTAATCCGCTGGATTATCTAGTGAAACAGGAAACAGAATTAAGGCACTAGCACAAAAAAGCAAAGGGTCAGTCAATTTACTCAGACTGCTTAGATACCTTGTAATAATGCACAGAATTGGGCTAAATAATTACTTTACAGTAACTACTAACAACTTAGAGGTATTGATCACAATACTGTTGTACATGCACACTAAAGAAGAGATTTGATTTTTCTGAAGATCTGCTCAGTTCATTCCTACAAGCCAACCATCCTTTCATGTCTAACCGAGAGCATACACAGCTAGACACTTGGAAAACCACACAGTTGTGGTGCAGCTTGCAGGCTGAAAGAACAGGCAGCATAAGCAGTAACCCAGAGACTCAGGAAGAGAGATGTTCCTAGTTTAGGAACTAGGAATGATGATAATGATAGGAATCAATGATAATGATAAATGTTCCTAGTTTAGGAACATCTCACTGGTGAAAGCTACAGAGAAGCAGCTTTTTGCTGGACGGACACACTGTCAAGGTGCGGAAGTCCTAGGTGTCGGTATGCACCACTTCCCTTAAATTGCTGAGTGATTAAGATGCCCTGCCCCACCCTTCATTAGAAGCCACAGAAATCCAGCTGCTGCACACCCAGTCTGGATCCTTATCCCAGGCTGAAGGAGGAATCTGAAGGTTTGTTACCGCTCAGTCTGCACTGCACCTATTTGGGAAAAACTCATATTCCTCTCACCCATCATACAAGGGATCTCAAGAGGGAGAAGGCAGTAAAGGTCACCAACAGCTCAGAGCAGGAACTTCAGGAAGATGAATGCTTTAACAGACAGAAATTTAAAACAAAGACCTGAGGAAATCTGGTCTGCTCTGGAGGGAGAAGAGTGAATTGACCTGAATCAAGATACATTGCAAAACAAACAAACAAACCAACCCACAAGAAACCCCCAAACCCAAATAAATAACCAGTTCCCCAAAACATAAACAGCAAGAGTTTCAAAATGCTGATCATCATTCCTTTGCTGTTTCAGAACAGAAAGAAAACACTAGAAGTATTTGCTTTAAATTAAATATTAGCATCACCAGGAATAAACTATACACATAGCCTTAGCGCTGAGTGGGGAAGCAACAGCTTTCCACAATGCATGTGCCCAGAGTCAAAGTTTAGAGAGCAGCTGTGAGTATTCATATTATTCTTTGCTCCAAAAACTTTTCACTATACAGTGACACGTACTAGAAATAAATGATAAAGATGCCCATACCTGTTTGATCTGTTCCCACAGCATCCTGGTTACTGTTGAGCCAGAGTGGAAAGTGACTTCAACATGATAGGCTGCATTTAGTATCTGGAAAGCGGAGGAAAGATGAAAGTATGGGAACTTTGCAAGCTGTAGTCACTACAAAATTTGCTAGACCCTCTGAAAATGAGAAAATGGACACTGTATGGGATACTCCATGATTGACTTGGTTCAATTTATTTATTGTATTAAGCTCATAGGTGTTTCCAGGCTGTAATCTGATTACTATATACAGATTTAGGAAAGGTAAGTACTAGGCCTTTAAGTGACTATTCCCCAGTTTTAGCACCTCCCTTAATGACACTAGACCCACACATACTCCAGGAGTTGTGTTCCTCTAATTTCACTGAGCATCTCAGTCTCCTATCACCCTTGCTGGATCAGGATAAAGACAATTATTAAGAATATTCTAGACAACCAGTTAAGCCACCATACCTGTTTGAGATAATTGCTTGTGATGTGTACAGAAACATCCTTTGACTTCTCCAAACTCCTTGCAGGATGTACTGAAACCTCCCAAGACTCCTCCAAGCTCTTCAGACATCTCTCCAGAGTCCCTACAAAGCTCTCTCGCAGATAGTCCACTGAACTAATTAACTTGTTGGCAACTGCTTGGTTTAACCGAGAAATAATCAGTTCCTGGATTTGCTTAATACAACACTTTATGTCCTTGGAACTAACAGGTTCCCCATTCTCCGGAATGATGATATCTGCATAAAAGAAAAGAAAGAGGCACCTTTTGTACTCAACATACCACTGTTGCAACAACGGCTACTGAGAGCTGCTTTGAGTGTTTTGCAAAGGAGCTACAGCACAGTCCCAGTCCAGCCAGCTTCTGCTCCAAACGCTTTCGCTATTTCGCTCCTTCAGAGGTTCATTACTTCAGACCCAGATATATCAACCTGAGGCCAACAGTCATACAAGGAAACCCATGAGTAACAGAAGAACACATATACTGACTATTACAAAGGATTAAATTTTTGCCAGTCTGTGTCTAATGCTACAATGCCAGTTTTACAGAGGTCCCAAAACCAAACCTGCAGATTCTGAGTTATTTGGTATTCTGTGAAAGAAAGTACTAAAGCATTAGAGTAGCTCCAGGAATGCACATCTGGTACTCCAGTTTCAGGGAAGCTAAAAATCAGATCTAACCAAGGTGGAAAATATCCGGATGTTTGCTTCCATTCACTGGTGTTCTCAGGATACTCAACTCTAACACCTGATAGATACAAGCATTCTGTAGCTACTACAGGTTTAACAGTTGTACAGTGATGACAAGCCAACTATCATCTCAAAAATTAAAGGGCAGAAGCACAAAGCTGTCTATCTAGAGCAGTACAGACCAGGAAATTCTTCCAGGCCACGCTGCAATCCATAAGCACTGCTGGATGTTGAACGTTACAAAGAAAGTGATGTAACAGCCACACTGGTTACATGAATTTTTTTTCCTGGGACCTTGAAAAGGTTGATTACCACTTGGTATTTTTAAACAAACACTGAGCAATCACTGCTCATGCACTGTAACCACCCTGAGCAGTACTACATTACTACCAGGAGCTGAAGATCTTGTCTCTGGATTTTGGCCAAAAACAGTCTAGCCTACTTAAAACAAATCCAGTGATCGGCAGATGGCATTAGCTCCTCAAAAGAACATCTTCCTCCTTTTAGGATATTTCTTCAAATACCGGTAGCCAACAAGACCCTACAATCTAAGTGATATTTGTTGTGCATATACACACATTTACTGCGGGTGTTTTAGCTTGTGCTGCCCCTAAACACACTGCCTGCATGTACAGAATGCTGAAACTCAGGCACTACAGTGCTCCAACTCTGTAAAGAGTGGGACAGACAGAATACAGGAGTTATTACCTATCCTGATAATGGAGCAATAGCAGCCCAAACAGGTAGAATTAACACACTCACTATACCCCTAGCGTATGCTAGTTTGTTGGGTTTTTTTGCAGCACGCAAATAGGTTAATGTTGCAATTAAAACAAGCTCTTTATGAGGACGACATTTTGCATGGGCACTACAAAGCAAACATTTCAAGAAACAGGAAAGATCTTATCCATTTCCCACCTGCAGGAGCAAAAACAACCAGATCCTAACCTGCAGGGTTAAACATGATCCATCATCTCTCCTCTTCGTCCCAGGAGATAACACTCCCATTTGAAATGGGGAGGAAGTCAAGACAAACAAAATTATCTAGAATTTTCACCTCTCTCATGCCTCAGAAGAGCACTCAATTCACAAAAAAATAATTTTTTCTAAACCTAGAGTTATTTCTGATTTTATTTTAAATAGAAAAATCTTTCCCCATCAGCCCAGTGAACTGCATTTCCTTAGAACAGAAACGGTTGTTATGGTAAACCTCTGCTTAGCAAGCAGAGGAGAAAAGAGCTGTGGAGTATCAACCTACAAATCTTCGCTTTGATGTTTATGACAGACCACGTATTCCTGCAGACAAAATTTGGATAGCCTCTCGCCCTTCACAGTTTACACATCATTCTGTATACTTCCAGCTTGTGTGTTCCTGGAAGTTCTGGTACTAGAAGATGTAGTGAGAATTCTCACATTTCACAAAAAACACACACTAAATGCCAAGCGTAGGCCTCAGGAGCACAATACGTTGTGCTGGTTTTTTTTTTTAAAGGAAAACCTTACCTACCCAGAAGGATTTCATTTTTAGGAGGTCTATACCCAAAAGTCTTATGCAAACCTCTCTCAGACAAAGAAATCAAGCTGAAGTACAAATCAAGCCTTCACCGCTAAAACTCAAACAGCTTTTTTTCTTAGGACAGATTTATTCCCAAGTCCCAACACAACCACCGAGGCAGAGTTGAGAGTGTTATTTTCTTCTTCGGCAGAACAGGGAATTAAAGCAGAGAAGTAAAATACTCTAATCCAGAACTGTCCAGCAAGCTCTGGAGGAAAAAAAAAGTCTGATTTACATAATCAAGACTTAATATGTTCAGACTTTTCATTTAAGGACAGTGCTTTTTACCCAGGAGACACTACAGAAATCTCCTTTGTGTATGAGTTCTGAATTTTGTTGCAAAGTCACTTGTCTAGACTGCCATTCAACCGTCCCTTAGCAGATGGCAAACGTTACTCTGGCACTCTCCTTTAAAGCCCCTAACCTCTTTGTTCCCATTACTCTCCTGCCAGTAGTTACCTTTGAATTCCATATTAGCAGCATCCTCCAAGAGCTCCTCTTTCATATTGCTAAGCGTCTCTATGATCATGTCCTTCATCTCCTCTTGCTTGCGGTTGGCAATGTTCATCAGAGACTCATATAGCTCGTTCTCCTTCTTGCGGGTATACTCTAGCCTCTTGGGGGTGATTTGCAGGTCTCGCTGCATGTCGAAAGCCTGATTGATGAAGATGTTCAGGCAGCGGCAGTGCACTTCATTTAAACTGGTAGCTGCTTCCACGAGATGCTTCTGAAGCACCTGCCTGGAAAAAGTGCTTAGGAGACGGAGCTTCTCAAACTGCTCCACCAGCATGCTTTGGGCATCAGCATCAGGACCGGGTGCCCCGCAGCTGCAGTGGCTGGTACTCAGGTACTCCAAGTCCATCAGCTGGCAGTAAAGGGAGGACTTTTCATGATCAGTTTTTTTGGGAGAGATCAGCTCAACCCCCAACTCTGGCACTTTGAAGAAGAAAATGGGCAAAGAGAATTTCTCTTTGATTTCGCGCAGTTCATTCTCATCTGATGAAGAAAGTTCAGCCTCGCTGATGGCAAAGATGACAACAGGCAAGACTTGGTTCACATACTCTCCCAAGGTGGCTTCAGCAGACTGGAATCCACGACATGGTGCTACCACAACATCTACTTCCTAGCAAGTGAGGAAGTAAAAAAAAATAGGTTTGCACAGATCCTTTTAAAAACTGACACATGCAAAAACGCACCGTAATTCATTCACAAAGTGCAAAACCAGAAACATTCAAACCCTTTAGAACAGTTACGGAGTCTCACACACACAGCATCATGCTTTAGTATATAGCCTACCTGCAAGGCTAATGACAGCCCCCTCGCAGGGATGCGGCCAGACATGGATTAGCACCCACGGACTCCAAAACTCTTATTTTGTACCAAGTGCCTTTGAATTTTAGCCTAGTTCAGAACAAAACTTAGAACAAGTTTCCCAGGTAAGTGCTATCGCAGAATAGCTGTTATTCTTCAGCTTATAGCTGACCCATTTTGCACCAACCTCTCCCAGTAAATACGCTTTCAGCCTCCCACTGATGTTTACCAGATCTGCAGCTCTTTGAGGAGATATTCATGCTGTCAGTTTTCAGTGTGGCCACCAACGATAGAAAGCACTACACTAGCCACTACTGCCAAGACAAAGGCAGCACAATAACCGATTCCAAAGAGTTCACAGCCAAAGGACAGACAAGGAGGAACAGATGGTTGTGACAAGCTTAGTTATGACTTTCTTCAAATCCAACCAAAACCTAAAAGATGTATTTTATTTATTTATTTTCTTACTGCACAGAGTTTCACTGCTTTGGTCATATGCTCCTGCTGACACCGCTTCTTACTAACCCTACTAAAAAGGGCCAGTTCTGAAACCTGCTTCCTTCCCTTCCAAGGACGTAGACAAGATTCACCTTTGGATATGCGAGAACAGTGTTAGAATTGCATATATTGCTCTACTAAAATAAGGAAAGAAAATGTCCAAGGATTTGAACTGAAGACAGCATTTAAGTGCCGTCTTCCCAACTCGTAACAGGGGGCGATAATTAAGAATTCTTCAATCATTTTTCTCCACCAGAAAAATTAAAGACTTGACCACATCTCCCAACTGCTCCTGGAGCTAACAGGAAGTCATTACTGCCACGGGATTCCCCGGCGCTGAACTCAAACCTGTCTGATGCACAGGAGGTTGAGCAGAACGGGATGTGCAGTGCTGCAATATTCACCAGGACGGATGACTCATGCCAGCGACTGTAAACAAAGGAGGAAGCCAGTGCTGTCTCTAGGAGACAGGGAGAAAACCAACACAGACAACCGAATACAGCGTGAGCGACTGGTCCTTCTGTTTCCATAGAGGCCTCTCAGGCTGTTCCAAAGAGCATGAGCAATATTTCATGCCCCCGCCCCCCTTTTTTTTTTAATGTCCTATAGAAGTTTAAGCACTGTCTATGCAGCTTCATACTATTAGGGATCAAGTCTATATGGGGAATACCTATGACTCACACTGGATTCCTGACATTTTTAAAGCTGGTTCTCACAAGGTCACACCACTATGAACACACTCGAACACTTCTGACAGAGCTGTAAGCATGAAGTTGCTGTCAAGTAACTTCATTCATGTTTTCCATAACTAAACAGCCCTTTTTAAAATATCAAAGCTTCCCACTTAGCAATCTGAACATCAGGTACGCAAATATCAGAATTACAGCTCTTCCACTTAAAATACGATGCACAGATGCTGTCAACAGCAATACAAAAAATACAGTTTAAAGAGAATACCATGCAGACACACTACATACTCATCTATGGATTCAGACTTGCAATGCCAGGATGACCAATGCATCCCACATCCCAGAACAAAAATTAAAATCAAGGATCAAGTAGGTCTTGACCTACAATAAGACAAGTGGAGTCTCACTAAGTGCATTCAGGGACCACTCAAGTGTGCCATTTTACTAAGTCAACAGATAATTCCTCATTTCCAAATCAGTTAAAAAGCATTTATTTGCCAGATCCCAAGAGGACCTTGTCCTATTTTGCTAGGCTTTGGGCAGTTTAAACCCTGCTTCTTTAGTTAACTGAGGTGCTAAGAAGCTAACCCAATTTAGTCATATTTTTACCCAAACTCCAACCAAGCAGATTATGATTGAAGGCCAAGCTCAGTCTTTTTCTAAGCCAATTTGAATACTCTGCCTTCCAAAAATAGTCTGTGAATTACTGAAGTCTGACAGTTACTGCATTTATTACATGTGATCTAATTTCATTGCCTCCCTATTAATCTGAGGTACGTATATACCCCTGAATTTTCTACTTAGAACCTTTTTTTTTTTACACCACACTCCCCCCCAATTTTTCTGAGATCTTGCCAGTTTATTCTGTTTCCATGGGGACCTGAGTCAGAAGTTCAGTAACTCTACAGAGAATCCCAGGTAAGAAAACCGAAGTACAGCTCTGGTCTCCAGCAAACACTGCTGTCCTTTACAGAACGTAATTGCTTTGATTTTGTGCAATGACTCTGAACCCCACTTCATCAGGGAATTTTGTTTTACCTTTGCTGAAAGGGCCAGCCCAAGAAAGGTGTACACACTCACAAAACAAACTGAGAAGCAATGCTTTTTTTCTGATCACAAACTCTTCCCCTGTAAAGATATCACTAAGCCAGCAAAACTAGAAATAGAGAACAGGTTTCACCTGGGTGGAGGAATAATTTCATGATGCTGGCATTTTCAGTATTTCTACCCTCAGTTATGCCAGCGTAAAGGGACAGAGGAGGAACACTTCAGGTACTTGATGCTGGCACATGGCAGGAGCACCTCAGCAGAGCCCAAAGTAAACTGATGCTGCGTGGAAGGCAGAGTGTCTCGGCCAACATGAAAGCTTTTCAGTTTTCTGTATGAATGCCACAACCAAGCACATTAAAAATACTCTCAAGAAGGAGATCAGGGCATGTTCTTCCAAGTTTTAAGCAGGATGTACATTAAAATAACCACCCAATAGGTACTTAACCACATTCTTTGGTACTTGTAACAACTACTAATTCATATGACCTCAATCACTGCTATAGTATCTGAAGAAATGCAACAATAAACCGAAGCTAACTCAATTCTTCTGTCAGAGTTCATAGAACCGTCTTGTATTTCTTCATTCATTTTCCAGCTTTACCAGAGCAGCTGAAAATTTTTCTCTCCCTACAGCCCTGCCTAAACTTTTCAGCCCGAGACTCGAAGTCGCATGAAGCACAAAGCAAGACAAAGGCATGAAAAAAGGAAGCTTTCAGCCCTGTTACCCTCCTCCCATTCAGCTGCACTATCCAGATGAAAACCAATACTTCAGAGAAGTCCCTTTCAGCTTCCAGGCACAACTGATAAAAAGAGCCAACTGTTTACTCCCAGTATAAATCTAATAATCTGTCTGGCTAGATGCATTATTCCCCATGACCTAGATGCATTCCTGTGCACAGTGATCCCCAAGGAATAGAGCGGCTTTGCCAAAGTTTTTCCTTCCCTGGTATTTTATGCTTAAAAATAACTAAGTTCACATACCTATTAGCACAAGGTAGGGTTCTCACAGCAGCTGACCCATGCAAATGAAATTTTTGGCTCCCTCCTCCTCACCCCCTTTTCTGTGAAACAGGTTTTAAGACATCCTTCAGTAACACAGAAAAGCAAGCATGGTCCCATCCTGGATGTCAGGCTGAAGAAAAAAAACTCAGGGTGCTCCACTGCAATTCAATATTGAAAAGCAGTATATTCTACACTTGTACTGAATTTATCTCCAAGTAAAAAAAGTAGTTTAGTTAATGTTTGGATACTGTTAACTTACAAATAACTTATCCTTTCTTTACTGGCGTAATGGCTAATGAGTTTGGATTTAGCAAACAAGTATCTGCACCAAGAAGCATGATTCTGCATTAAGTGCCTGCACAAGACAGCAGCATGTAATCTAGGTGCCCAAGCCAGGCTCTGCAATTACGTCTCTTGGTAAGAGATGCTTAGGCCTGAAAAGCTGCACAGCATTCCCCAGGTCCTGAAGTCACTGACACTCCTTTGATGGCAGCCTACTGGTAGATAAGTGTCCTCACTATGGGGAATGAATGTGATTTCAAACACACACAAATGAAATTCTCATCTCCTATAACTGTTCAAGCCCACAATAAGGACCTGCAAATGTTTCTTCAAACCCTAGCAAGGTGTTTGAATATCTAGAATGTAAGGTTATCCTGAAACACAGTACTACTTATAAGCACTCTGCTGTTGGGAGAAAAACAGATGAAAATACAGGGATTCCAGGTAACAGGTGGGGTAAAATTCAGATTGATTTCCTCCCCCTCTGCTCAAAAGGTGCTGAGCTCCTCCAAATTATTTGGTTCCTGGGCACATCTAAATCCTTAAGATCTGTTCTGAATATCATGTTGTCATCAAGCATGCAATTGTTATTAGACTCCTAGTTTTGTTTCACAAGTTAAGAAAAAGCAGAATTTCCTTCAGAGTAGTTCTGCAGACACGCAACTTCGAATAGTGTCCAAAAAAACTCATCCGTTATTCCTCCAGATATATATTCCACTAGTTACAGAAGTAGTGTCCATGACTAGCAGATATTTACTTAAAAAATTTTGCTGTCTTGGTGTATGCTGAGCAGAGCTGGAGAACACACATTAGCTAGAAGGGTGGAAAAAAACCACAGGTCTCTCAACAGGAGGTCAGACTCCTGTAATTTAACAGGAAGCTATCCCTATTACCTGCTAAAATGCATTAAGTTCTCCTATCAGCCTTAAAAAAAAATTTGTTCTTCCTTTAGCCCCTTGAATTCATGTAAGGAATCCTTTGAATCAATCTGAAGCTAGCTGTGATTCACCCTCCCTCTCCTTCTAGTGGAAGAGCTTTTTATTTCACCAACCCTTTTCAAATTAATCTGAGTAGCTGTTTTCATCTAAGTGTCCTAAATATAACCAAAGCCAGACAGAGAGATCTTTGTCACTCACATGAGAAATCTGAAAGAGGGTTGTAAACTGCAGTGTGTCTAAACTGGCCCATATAAAAACGTAACCAAGTAAAAGAAATGTAAAGCTAAACACTCTTTTATACATAGCAAGGCAGGATTTTACAAGCAGAAGATCCAGAACAGGCATTTACTTTGCAGCACCAGCAGCTGATCTGGCGCTCTCTGGGAAAGTAGTGGATGCCTCACATACAGTTTATACAAACATGGCACTTCTGGTATCTTTCAGTGGATACTGGAAGCCACAGACACACTACAACATAGCACTGACTCAGCTGGTCTCGTTAGGATAGGCTTAAATTTAGCTACAGGCTGGGTTTGTAAAACATATTTCAAGCTGATGAAGATAAGACTGGGTCTTCATTTTCTGCCTATTTACAATCATGACTCGATTCATATGTCCAGAAAACAAAATTACCTTGCCATTTTGTTGTTCAACTATGAAGTTCATACTCTTACTCATGAGACAACAGATCATATTCTTTTCACTTAAGATAATTAATTCTCAAATAGAAATTGCTATTCCAGATATTCGACTGCCAAACACAATGCTCCAGAAGTATTACACTGCAATAACAAAGGCACGACATAAGATATGAAATACAGTGAAAGCTTATGGAAACTATAAAAAGCTACGAAATACAACCCTCACCTTTAAAGACATTTGCCAAACACCAAACTGCAACACTCACAGGACAGAAACATGTTTTATGGACAAGTGAAAGGAAAGTCACAAAGCAAGATACTAACCATGTTAGAAACAGCACTGCAAACAGACTCCCACCTTCTTGTTCTTAACACCTTCACTTTCCATTGACACCACCGAAATGTAAAAAGCCACCCCCTCAAATGAAGTCAGGTCATTTTATCAGATGTTGGAATTAAGCTTTTTCTGACAACAAGCTCTTCAGGACAGAGATAAAAAAGTACATATCCTTGTACGACAGCTTCCAGCTACTATCAGATAGCAAAGCTAACTCTGAACCTTGAAACTGGAGTAAAATTTTCGAAGACACTTGGAGTTACATCTGAGTAAGCTTGGCTTCTGAGATGGAGGGAAACATTACAGAGGAATCATAACGCTAAGAGTCAACATTGCAACAAAAGCACACAAGCATAGACAGTGATGTCCAATTAAAATCCTAACACCAGACTTCCAGCTTCTCTTTAATTAAGAAAAATTCCTATGCTCGTTTACACCATCAGCTTTATTAGGGACTACAAATGTTACATCTTAAGTTCACTGTGACAATGGTACATGGACACCTAAGTTACCTTTAGTAGTGAGTACGGCAGCATGACCTCCAGCTCCGCTATCTGGTGAGCAGGATCTTCGCTGTCCCCACGAATTTCTAAGTCCTCCTCTGGTATCGTGTCCCAGTGCCCTCGGTGGGCTGCCATCATATGGACCAGTTCATACTGCTCAGGCAGCGCTAGGCTAATCCGTGTTTGTGTCCCATGCGTGAAGCGGATCCGTCGCCTCTTACAGTTCTCCTCATTGCTGATTTTGGTGGTAGGGAGCAGCTTCTCACCCAGCAGTATGTTGAGTAACTGGCACTTGGCATTACAGTTCTGGCCAAGAATCAGAAGGCAAGGGTGCCAGCTCACAGTCCGCTGGAGATGCTCTTCCTCATGACGAGGGAAGGAAATGAAATTCTGCCCTAAAATTGAAGACAGACTGCATTAGAACAGGTTGGCTGAACAACAAGTCTCATATCTCTAAGCCAGCTGAACGCAAAAGTTCAGACATCGCTGCCCCACAGCCCGCCGAGAAACCCACATAGCACCAAGAATTTGCTTATGTTTCCTGAAACTAGTGTCAGCAATTCAGCATTTCTACCGCACCAACACAGAGGTCCACAGTAGGTTGATTCTCACAAAGCTTTTAAGACAATTTGTTACTGTTCTTCCCACGTATTTCACTGGAAAGTGTTTACACAGAGCTCTCTTCAGCAGGTTAGTGGAAGACTAATGGTAGGCCCTAAAAGTCAAGGGGAAACAGTTGTCAAGGTTGAAACAACCAAAGGGCTAATTTTGCCTTAGGCTGGAACAGTGTTTCGCCTTGCTCCAGAGTTCAAGGAGGCCCATGGATCACTAAGGCTAACTCTTCCCAAGTTTTGATGGTTTGGCTGTACAGAACGCTCCTGTCACATATCAGAAATAAATTCAATCAACTATGAATCGGTGACAGTTCTGCCCACACACTTTAAAACATCAAATACTTTGCATCTACTGAATCCCAAGAGTATTACTGCACAAGCTTGGTGACCAAAGTCTAGGATCATTGACATTAAAGCAGCAAAACCTCCTCTCTAGCCTCAAGGAAAGGCATTCTTGCAAAATTGCTTCTCTACATGAAGCTGATGACAAGACCAAGTTTGCTGAAACATGGTGGCAGAACTAATAGCCTCTGCCAGCAGTTCCCTATGACAGAAATACAATCACAGCATCTAAAGAAACTGTCACGCTTTCACCAGCCCAAGGGAAAACACTCTTTGCTAGCAGCCGGAAGGTTCCTAGTGCAGTCTAAAACACAGTAAGAAACAGCTTCTCTCCTTTGATCGCACTAACAGTACACATCTTTCCTAACCTATAGAGTTGAACTAAACAGGCACAGTTTGCCAGATATTCTTATTAATTTTAAGAACAACCTTTAAGCTGCAAAAAGAAATTACTCAACATCTGTACCTTCTTCAGAGTAGCAGGACTCCCTGTAATCACTCTCCTTACCCACCTTCTGCCTGAAGCATCAGTTGTACCATCCCACTAACCAGGCCCTTTGAATTCTTAGTCCATGATGCTGCAACTCCTTGCACTTGCCTTACTACATTAATTCAGTCTCAGTACTGAATTTAGCTTCTGTATTCTTTTACAAGTCCTAAATACAGCTTTTCCCACGCTCAGTCATCTAAGCTGAAGTCTAAGCAGCTTTGCGTTACCTTATGCATAGCAACAGAATAATTCTGGTAGTACAAAAAAAAGGATACAAACAAATTCCCCCATCTGCTGCTCTTCAGCACAATCCCCGCGAGTACAAAACAGCTAGTGTTCCACCACAGCCAGAGCACTAGCCCGTGTTCCCAGACTGAAGGCAGATGGTACCCAAGAATGAAATGGCAAATGGACACACCAGTCCCCAAAAGAACTGCCAAATCTGAAAGCTATAAACCAGTACAATTGCCCTGATATCAGGCAAACTGACAAGAACGGCAGTTTAAAGATAGACTCAAATACAATACAGCAGAGAAGCACCAGCAGGGATTTTGTAGGGGAAGGTCCTGTTTCACCAGGGCTATTAAAATTCTTTTAATGAGTCATGTTCTGGCATCCAAAACTGTTTCAGCATCTCAAGCCCCAAGAAAACAAGATACTCTCACATACCAAGATGTTCCTCACCAGTACTAACCAAATTAAAGATAACATACAGCAGCTATTCTAGTCCTCATTCTGATAGCACTCCATTCCTTTATTTTAATTAAAATCATTCAAATCAGGAGCAACACCAGGTGTACTTGGTTGTGCCCTAGACCCAGTTTAAGGCTTCTTTAACATCTTGCCTAAGACTTACCTTTCCTTCAAATCTTCAGTCGGGAAATAGGACTGCTGGAGGAGTTCTCTCCATCAGAGGAGTCCTTCCACCCCCCCACAACACTAAGGAGAAACCCTCTCTGTGCCTCAGCAAGCCCCTCTCCTGCACCTCTGCACCACACAGCCCCCGGACGCTGACCCCCATAAACCAACAGTTTGGAAAAGGTTAAGGGAGACATCACTTCTGGAAGCGTGACTCTTCGTAAGTGTTTCTTAAACAAGCCTTTCAAGATGCACAACCATAGCAGAAGTGGCCACATCAAGTGACTGAAGGGCAGAATCTGGCGGCTAGCGGCTCACAAAAGATAAAAATCAGCAAAACCCCACAAACAGCACATTTAAGCCTTCATCTACAAAATAAAGAATTTCTTTGATCTGCTTACATCTATTGAAACTTCAACGGGAATTCAGGCTCGCTCTTCAGCTACCAAGCATGAAGAAAGCAATTCAGAAGGCGTTGCACAGGCCATGAAGCCTTCTCTGCACAGGCGTTTGAAAAGAAGAGGCAGATTGCATCGTCTCCTCATTCTGGGTGGCCTCTGTATTTACGGGTACCTAATCCCAGCACAAAGTGATTGAAATACAGCAGCTTGGCTGAAATTATTGAAGCACGGAATGGATATATAAATACTCCATCTTTAAAACACCTCTCATCTTTTCATGCACCCAACCTCCCTGTGATCAGCATTTATTCAACAAGTTTACTACACGCGTTATCAGTAACGAAGCCATTACATTTAACGTTATGTCACACTACGATAGTCCAAGTATGCGGAGTACAAACCTGGAACCAGCACCAAAAGCGAGATTCAGCCATATCACAACTAACCCAGCGCACCATCAAGGCATCCAAGTCATGGCAGTGGTTTCAACCCTGCGTGTATGTATCACTGGATACCTTACAGTGACCTCAAGGTCTCAAACCTGAAGCGAGTTGCACAGCGATGGAGCTATTGCTCCTGGTTCCGCACTGCAGAAAGTACATTGCTATTTCTGCACATCAGAATAAGACACAGGGTAAAAACACTCACACAGTACTTAATAGGTGATGCCACTAATCGGAACATGAAGAATTCAAGTTGGGAGGAATATGAGCTCCCGTGGTACCTAACAAAAAGTAGACTTAGAACGTCCTTACTGAAGAGACGTAGCGATATTCCCCTATCTGTGTGAGCAGCTCCTGTTTGCAACAGGACTTCTGCCAGAGATTTTAGCTGGTGCTACATAACTGTATCCAGGTACTGCATCATTTGGAGACATGTGATAAACACTTCCAAAAAAAAAAAAATGGCTGCAGGGGGAGTCCTTAAGCACGTGCATGCTGTTAAGCTCCTTCTGATGAAAGGAGGCCTGTCCAAGAACAAGGACGTCTCTCACCAAGACTCATCTCAAAATTCAAACACTTGGCAGAAGAATCTTCGGTTGAATTTATGGAATCTGTAGAAACCCTAAGGATGTACTCATCCCCTTTTCAAGGAAGGTCAACTACACTGCCGGTCTCACTTGTCTTTCTATACTATTTTCAGTAATACATGTGAACTACAGTGCCTAAATAAGGCCAGACCCTCATACTTCTTATTGCAAATACCAATACTTTTCATATAAATCCTTACCTTCCTGTGGTGCTGGCAATGACTTGCAGCATGCTTTGACCACTACAAGACTTATGATCAACACACTCAGTTATACAAACCAAGTTTTAGTCCCACCCCACATCTACCAGCACAGCGGTGTTAATTCCAGGAGAACACATGCGACAAATCAATGTACCAACATAAGCAGTTCCTACAGGAGCAGCTGTTAGAACATTAGCAGCCCACATGGTCTGCAGAGCCAAGCTTCATCTTCTGCTTAGCTTGAAGCTTGTTAGCAAGTGCTTCCTCCCATCTATTTGAGGAGTTATTTCACAAGTACCCTCCCGACCACCTCTCCACACGTTATCTAGTCTTAAAACCCATCTTCTTATGTTGACATACCTAACAACACAATAGGAGCCCTAACCTTTTGAGGATCACAGCAAAATAGGCAGTCACATTTTAACCAGGATATATACCCTCGGTCAATACAGCATCAGGATGAAAATTCTTCCAAACCCTCTGGTTAATACATTCACCTCCTACGAAATGCATTTATGGATGGAGTCATTAGGCTACCAAGCCTAGGGCTTTCCCCCCAGTGCACACTCATTCGGATAACACCACAGCTGCTGACCAAAACTCTGGAGATGCTGTGGATATCTTACAAGAGGTACAGCTCAGTTTACAGAAGCTTCTGAAATAAGGCAAAAGAAGTATCAAAAAACCTCGGGTTCCTCGGTCAAAGAGTTCAAATTACTTCAAGCACAGAATGAAGAAAACAACTACAATTAGTAGAAAGCAGGTTGCTGGGTTTTTTTCTTAGTATCTTTCCATATTTTAGTAAAATCTGCTACTGAGTCCCTAATTAAGATTTTCTTTTTATAGAAAGTCAGTACAAAACACACTAGCTAAATGGCACCAAGAATAAAAAGCTGTCAGACCTGTGCAGGCTAAAGCTACAGGATTGTCATAGTGTCATGGTTTAACCCCAGCTGGCAACCAAGCCCCACACAGCCGCTCGGTCACTGCCCCCCAGTGAGACGGGGGGGAGAATCGCAAGGGTAGAAGTGAGAAAACTCGTGGGTTGAGATAAAGACAGTTTAATAGGGAAAGTAAAAGCCGCACATGCCAAAGCAAAACAAGGAATTCATTCCCTCCTTCCCATGGGCAGGCAGGTGTTCAGCCATCCCCAGGACAGCAGGGCTCCATCACGCGTAACGGTGACTTGGGAAGACAAACGCCATCACTCCAAACGTCACCCCCTTCCTCCTTCTTCCCCCAGCTTTATATGCTGAGCATGACATCATATGGTGTGGAATATCCCTTGGGTCAGTTGGGGTCAGCTGTCCCGGCCATGTCCCCTCCCAACTCCTTGTGCCCCCCCCAGCCTGCTCGCTGGTGGGGTGGGGTGAGGAGCAGAAGAGGCCTTGACTCTGTGTCAGCACTGCTCAGCAGCAACGAAAACATCCCTGTGTTATCAACACCGTTTCCAGCAC